GAAGATCCCGCAAATACTACTTAAGTGCAATCAATCAATTTGTAAATACCCCATGCACCTACTAACCAACCAAAAATATCCCAACAAACTGTCTTATCTTTTGTCATATGAGTTTATTCGGTGATCGATATGATTCCTCCAAAGTGAGCTGCAATTCCTTAAACCTATTTGGTCAAAAATACCGCCACATCTAGAGCTTCTAAAAAATCATACCCCTAAAAAGTTGTATTCTTCCTGCAAAATTAGTCTTTTGGTAAACTTGTTATATTTTCATAACTTTAATTTCGTTTACTTCCAAAATAAATAAACTTGTTGCCCTCCCTCCATTTATTTAACAATCATCAATCTGCGCGCTTCTAACAAAGTAATAGTTGGTGCTGTTACTGTGCTTGATACAGATTATCAGAAAACCAACCCAAAACTAATAAATGATATATTTAAATATATTATTATACTTAGGCATTAAGTTAATTTAGTTCTTAATGTTAATACATTAGCGGTTGTGGTTCAAAAACTAACCAATCAAAAGAACAAATTTCAATTATTTGTATTGTACAATTCATTGGCTTATTAGTACATGTATCTACCCTGTGTGTTATTGTAAATTAAGCTAAGAGAAAATTTTAAAACTATTTATTTATGTTGTTGGCGTAGAGTGTGAAGCAATTCAATTCTAACGGGCGTATACATTTTTGGCAATAATTTGCATATCAGAGTTATTACTTACTATACATACAAGTGTTAAACGTGCAATTCTAAAGATTAATGCTAAAGAAATTATTATTATGGATCCGTAGATCTAATTATCGCTAAACACGACAGCAAACTCTATTAAGATTTTTACCCTCTGATCAATTTCCATTTCCGCTTTCGATAAAGTTCGCATTAAGCTCCGATCTCTGCGGATGTGGCAGCAAACAAACACACAAAAGTAATCCAACCAATTGTTATTTATCACCACGAGAGTCCAATCAACGTAAGACAATATATGTATGTGCGATCAAGTTCGAGATAGTCCAATAATGTTTTTCAAATTTTCCAAATTGATCACTCTTGTCCCCTACACACAGCCACACCAATTAAAATGTTCAACTAGCTTTAATTACTACTCTTGTTAATATTGTAAATAATTAAATGAATGGGAGAAAACAACTTTAAGCGTTAAACCAAAGAGCTGATTTAGTTACTAGAATTACCCAAAATGAGCAACCGATAAGCGCAATGAAAGCAACAAAAGTCAGGTAACCAAGACAGATACAAGCAGATTATCAGATGACAGCAAATACAGATTATATCTATATATACATAAAGCACTATATATTTATACAAACCAATTAAAAAGGGCGCTAGCTTAAGCTCAGCCACAAGAATTGTATGAGATTTAAACAAAAACTGAAGCAAAACTGCAATAAACTCTATATTATGTTTCAAAAACATTGACAAAATGTAAATCAAGCTAACTAAATTTGTGGGCCATATTATGATAAGTAACTGATTTGGCATGCACAGATAAACATTTGAATTTTTTAAACATTACAATTGATAATTAATCCAATTTAACAGCCATATGTTTGATGGAAAATTTCCAAAAATCTTTTTAAACTGTGCTTGTCTCCAAATCAACAAATAATTTTCCAAAATAATTGTTGGTTCAACATTTCAACGTATTCCAGCTTCTATCGTCGCCTTCGTCATTAAACTAACCAAAATATTACGTATACGTCACGTTGAGCATAAAGCATTCATAAATCACTTAGTAACATATTACATTCCAGGGGATAACAACCACTTGTTCTCACATTTATCATCCATAATTAGTTGTAGAGCAAACTGCCGCTAACCCGTAAACCCGTAATCTCATTACCTTACTGCATAAAAGTCCTTCGCTCTCGTCCACAGCGAAATTCATCGGCGTTTCATCAGGTGGAACAGGAGGCGGAGGGGCCACGCCTATCGGCTTGGTGGCGGGAGGAGCAAACACCGCCACCTCATCCAACTCATCCAAGTGGATGCTCTCCCCCACCCTAGAGGTTTCCAGCGAAGAGAAGACTTCGCTTATCAGCAAACTCAAAACGGACTCGGAATGTGGAATTCCATGCGGTGTTGGAGGTGCTGGCGAAGGTGTCTCTGGATATGTTAAACTCCCTGTCGAAGACCGCAATAAGTACGAGAAGCTTCGCAGCAAAGATCAGCCAACTTCCGATGACTCAGATTCCGAAACTTCGGAGTTCTTTCAACAAGACAGCGATGAAGGAGGTGGCGGCATATTTAGGCAAATGCAGATGGTGACAAGCAATTTGCCCGAAACCATCCATAAAATCCAACAGGTTGCCTATCACAAGGTGGACAAGACAGCTCATCTGCCAATTGTAAAGAAGCTTCGCGATAAGACCAAGAAACCGACAACAGCTGCCCATCAAGCGGCCCAACAACTAAATCTCATGGCTGCTGCGGTAGCTGCACAAGCTGAAGAAGCTGCCAAGGCGGCGGAATCCGACGGTGATTCCATCGGATCTGCCAGTGACCTGCGAGCAGAGGACGATGATCTGTTTGACGAGAATCCGCGACAGACGCAAGCCAAGCAACGTCGTCCTTTGCCAACAGAAATGGATGGAATAAGCGAGTCTGTTAAGACTTGTAGCAGCTCTGCCTATCATGCAGAATGTGAGAGTGTCACCACCCATGAAGACGATGTGCGGAGTAGGGTGGTGGTGAAGGTGCGGATGAGGAAGAAGGACCGTGCCCTTGTGACTGGCACTGGCGATCCAAGTGCTCCATCAGATGAACTAAGTCCCACTTCCAGCGATCTCCTGCACAAGTTTGGCGATCGTCCATTGCTCCTAGATGATGAATTGGATTATGGTTCTGGAGAAAGCAAGAGTAGCACTGAATCTCCTGTGGCTGCAGCTCTGCCAACAAATCCTGAGGTGCTGGAATCAGAGGAAGATGTGTTCGCCCTGGCTCCATTTAAATTACCAGTCGGAATTCCTCTGAAACGAAAGAGTAAGCCCAAAACTAAGACCAAGCCGTCGGAACCCGAGATGTGGACTTCTACACCAGTTAAGACTGCCGCTGTCGGAGATCCCTCTACAAATTTTGCCAGATTTCCTGCGCAGCTCACGCCAACCAATCATGTGGGAAATTCCACGCAGCTAGATGAGTTCAATGAACCAATTTTCAATCCCTTCCAGGAAAACACACAGAAGATGCAGCCGGAGGAAAGTAATCAGTGCGACCTGTTCGGCTTAGAACCATTTCCACAGGTAATTCGTACAATCGAACAGAACCCACAGCACCACCAGATTCACCAATTTCCCAGCCACAACAATAATAACAATGTGATCAAAGTGCCCGCCTCCGTATCTGTTGCTCTTCCTGCCTCCGTTCCTGTGTCTGTTTCCGTCAATTCGTCTGCCCCACAACTGGTGACCATAAATCACTCGATTATTATAAACAAAACGCCGGAGCCACCAATGAACTATAATAATAACCAGACTGTTAAGTCGAGTGGCACCAGCAGTGTCTATGTGAATGTGCCGTCTTTCTCCAGCATGAGCACCAGTTCCTGCTCCATTAACCAGCCACAATCCTCACCAGCAGCTGTGATTCCAGTTCAGGCACCTCTTCCAGTTCCAGTTCCTGCCCCTGTTTCCGTTCCAGCCGTTCCAGCTCCAATACCGGCGGTAGTTACCCATCTGCGTCCTTTGCTGCCAATTGCCGATAATGCGTATGTGCAAATTTCCCAAGATCGCTGCTCAGATTTCACACCGGACGACGAGGAGGAGCCCGTGGTGTTGCGTGATGCCGATGTGGTGGCAGACGGTATACCTACCCCTGCGAAACCAAAGAAGGAGAAGTCCCATCTGGCTGTGAGGGTTCTGCCGGGAAAGCTCACCCAAAAGGTTAAGGGACACTCGTACAAAAAAGTGAGCGCGGCTGCCCTGGGATCCACCAGTTCCCTCAGTTCCGGCAGCAAGCAGAAGCATCAGCGATTGCAGTACCAGTCCCACGACGATGACGAAGACGAACAGGATCAGGATGAGAACCGAGGAGCAGGCGGCGGTCGCAACTTCCAATCAAACACCATACAAAATTCTGCCAAAACCGGCTTCAGCAACATGAGCTTTGAGGACTTTCCGTCGGATCAGGAAATGGATCGTCTATCCAGAACCATTCCCTTCGAGGTGGTTAGAAACGAAAAGATGTTACTCGAGGCGGAGAAGAAGTTCGGCTCCCTCAAGCGGCGGAACAACTTGTTCTCATAAGTGGAAAGGGGGCAAGACCATCAAGGAGACCTGAGACTGAGTGTTTCAAATTATGTTGGCATTTCGTTTAAGCTTTTCTCCGTTCCGTTTTTAAAGTGGTTCCAGAAATAACCAATATCTGTATTTTTTGAACATAGTATTTATTCGCGTGTAGCAATGTTGAAAAGTGGTTAACACACAACAAGATCAATATCTATAACTGTTATTTAGTGCAAAAATGTAAACTAGCTTTAGAAGCGAAACATGTTTTAGAATTTATACAGTGTGTAAGTTTACCAAAGTTACATTTATTTTTGTGGCATTTTTCAGCTTGCAGTAATTCATGAATGAATGAATTAATTATTTATACAAAACTATGTGATTATACACCCACACCCAATAACAACCCCAAAAACAATTTATCACTTAAGCCAATTAATTGCATTCACTAACACACCAAGGTATTTAAGGATTAATTATTCTATCCGTATCGAATAACATACGCGTTTATGTTAGTACTCCATTTGTTTTGCATTATGTATTATCTCGACTATATAAAATATGCATATTGTATTTATAATTTATTCCAGTGTTTTCTTTGGTTTCCTTGGGACCAACAATTTAATCAAATTAAAATTGTAAAGCATCTTCTGTTGAGTTGCTTCTTGGCAAAAGATTATACATCTTTTATAAGTACATCTGTTGCTTATCAAAAAAATGTACGTATATATTTTGCAGTTAACAAGTCATACAAGAATTTCTTTTTCACGTCAACCGCGTTTCTATTTTTATACTTTTGTGACATTAAATGCCATTGAGTTCTTACCCATTCACAGTAGGAACTGAACATAATTAGATTTTTACTTGAACACCGTAGGCTATTTAAAAAAAAAAAATTAGATTCTTTCTCAGTTTTAGTATTTTTTTTTCAAGGGATCTTAAGGTTTTTAAAATCTATTTGCCGTATTTGTTTGCGGATTTATTTTGCCTAGCGAGTGAAGGACATAGCTACAAATCGTATTTTAGATTTCCAACTTATCAAGTGATCACTGCATTTGTAAACAAAGAACAGCTGAGTTGTGTTAAGGTATGTGTATGTGTACGTTTTTGCGTTGTGGAAACTCATATGAACAAAATAAGCGGAAAAAGTTGCCAACCTAAGCGAAAAAAATCGACAAAAGTATTAAAATTCCACGTCGGCCATACTTTTAAAATCACGTATCTGTCAGTACGCTCCCAGAAATCTTTGCAGTAAATCGGAAAACGTATGTACATCAGAGAAGACATGAATGATAGCGAAAAATGGAACTGGGACACCAAGCGAATTCTGGTCAAGTGCGGAGGATTCTCCTCGCAATTGGCCAGGAATGTCTCCGAAAAAGTGGACGGTGATCCACTGTGGGGGTCTCGATTTGATGCCACCAATCCGGAGGCTGTGATCCAAACACATCTGGATTTTCTCCGCAACGGAGCGGATATTATTCTAACCAACACGTATCAGTCCAGCGTCGAGGGTTTCATGAAGTACCTGGGCGTGACCAGAGAACGAGGTGTGGAGTTGATCCAAAAGAGTGTCCAACTGGCCAGGCAGGCAAAGGAACAGTACCTATCAGAAATCGGTTCTGAATTGGAGTCGGCTCTTCCCCTGATCCTGGGCTCAATAGGCCCATATGGCGCATATCTCCACGATGGCTCTGAGTACTCCGGCAACTATGTGGAAAATATATCCAAGGAGCAGCTAAAGGCGTGGCACAGGACAAGAATTGAGATTTGTCTCGCAGCTGGGGTGGATGGCTTGGCCCTGGAAACACTTCCCTGCCAGCTGGAGGCGGAGGCAGTCACCGAATTAGTACTGGACAACTTTCCGGATGCCAAATTCTGGGTCTCCATGCAGTGTAGGGTGAGTAAATACCAAAAAAAAAAAAAAACATGGTAAAAAATATATCGGAACTCTCGTTAAGAGTAAAACTGTGTACTTTCAAAAATCCGTGTCTGTTCTAATATTTTAAGGATGAAAAGCACTTGGCTAGTGGAGAAACCTTCGCGGAGGCGGCTCTCTCGGTCTGGCGGTTGGTCCAAAGTCGGAAGGCTGAGAACCGGCTCCTTGGGATCGGCCTGAACTGTGTAAACCCACTATTCGTGACTCCTTTGCTATCATCGCTTACCAAAGTGGCCGGATCGGATCGCATCCCGCTGGTGGTCTACAGCAATCGCGGCGAGATCTACGACACGGAACAGGGAGAGTGGACTGGAACCGGCGAGGAGGTGGTCAAGTTTGTGCCCGAGTGGCTCCAGCTGGGAGTGCGCATCGTTGGCGGCTGTTGCCGGGTCTATCCGACAGACGTGTTGGCGATCCGCACGTACGTCGATGGCCTCAACATAAAGCCGTAATCGGGCGAGAGCTCCGGACACTGATAGCAGCCTTGTCGCCAATGCGAAAGCTGTTTCGTGTGACTAGACCTAGACCTATTTAGTTTGCTAAATATGTATATGCTAGTAATAGATGTACCCAGATCAGATGGCTTCCTAATCAACAGAGAGTGGAAAAAAGCGTGGACGGCTGGCTGGGAGACAAACACAGATTAAACGGACGGACCAAAGGTAAACAAGTGTACTGGGGATATGGGCAGACGTTCACTCAACGATTGTTTTTGCAAACCTAGCTCAATTTTTGAGTCCAAATCAAAACAATCTCTATAAAATTACAACACATAAACGTGTATTGCCCTTTAAAAAAATGGTATTAGCGTACTATACTTTATTTTTACTTTAATTTTCAATAATGTTAAAAAGATATATAGTAACATATCCATTATTACACCCACAACTCCCCATAAGATAACTATAAGCAACATACACTAGTATAAGCTCATATACACACATTAATGTATAAACACAAAATATCTAAGTCTAAGCACAAAATGTAATCAAAGAACGAGAGCCCTTCGATTAACCTTGGACACAGCGTCATGTTCCAAAGCCACCCTTTCTCACAGATCGCAAATCGTAAACATAGACACTTGCCGCCTTTATAAACACCGACTCTCGTCCCCTAATCATTTGCATTCGACCACTTGGCGAGCCAACTGAAATAATAAACTTTCGCGATCGGCGCCTACGCCTACGCACTTGTCCCAGGATTCTCCAATTACCCCTATTCTTCAGAAGACTCTCTTCTAACAAGAAAATAGAGGTTTACAACCAAACTCTCTTAAACTTCGCTCTTTGGCTTCCCCAAATTGCCTATAAAACAGCAAGCATGCCTCCATGCAGCAGTTCAGTACTGAGTACGTTATCAACCGCGATAACACCGCTTAAGCCAATTTAACTTTCCAATCTCGTGATAATCAAATGGCTCTAGTTCTTTCCATAAATGGAATTAATAAAAAGGTTTAATAAAATATAAAACTCAATCGTGTGTTTTTTTTATCAAACCCTCGGTCTGAATTCGTAAATGGCGCAGCCGGTAGGATAAAAAGAAAAAGTTGTACGACTCGTTTACAAATATCAATCTAGTGACAAAAGATCCTTGTACGACCAAGCGTATCTTTTAATGATTGAACCACGCGAATCGGCGCTAAGTGAACGTAAATCGTAATACAATAAAACTCTTTTTATCCGCAAAAGAACTACGTATAATCGGTGGTTGTCACACAATAGTCAACCTACTGCATACGATTAATAAAAGTGTAAAAACAAAAAACCAAAAAACTCTACAGAAACAAAAATCAACCATGGCAACCGAACAAATCCAACTATTATCAGAATCCCACTTGAATCAAGCCTTAAATCAAATTAGGCAAATACCTTCATTCAGTGGAGACACCCAAGAGCTCAGTGCCTTTATACGAAGGATAGAGTTCATACTCCAACTGTATCCAACAACGGACCCCAGGCAAAAACATGTATTCTTCAGCGCAATAGAGATGCAGCTTGCAGGAGATGCCCAACGAGTGTCACAATTATCTGGAGCAACAACCTGGCCCACCCTAATGAACGCACTTATCAGCGAATATAAAACACAAACACCATGTGAAGAATTACTCCGTCGCCTCTACAATACACCCTTCAACGGAAGTATCCGTAAGTTCGTCGAAGAATTAGAAGTCAAATCATTCACAATATCAAATAAGCTTATGTTAGAAAATAACGTTAATAACACCTTATTATACACAAATGCATTAAATAACACAGTTAAAGATGTGATCATGAGAAAATTGCCCGATAGGTTATTTATGACCCTTGCTAGACATGACATAACGACAGTATCTAAGCTCAAACAAATAGCTCAACAAGAAGGTGTATACGAAATAACCTTCAATGACCGAACGAAACACCAAAATAACTCCAATCCTAACACAAATCCACCCCAAACTTCTAAGAATAAAGGAAATTATCAAAATTTCGCGAATTATGTTATGCACAACACAAATAAATCAAATCCCAACAATAATTCAAAACCTATCGTATCAAACCAGCAGGTTATGCATGAATTTAAACAAAAGCTAAATCAGGGTAGAGCCCAGAACCCTTTAAATTACCCACAACATAATAGTAAGGCACCAAACCCTCCCGTCAAACGGCAGAGAGAAAGTGCTAGTGACCAATACAAAATGGACACAAGCGAAAATTTTCTTCAACCAGCCTCGGAATCAGAAAGCGATCCAGAGGAGTAGGTAATCCATTCCTAAAAATTAAACTAAATAATATTACTCTCAAATGCCTAGTAGACACTGGTTCGTCTATCAATATTATGAAACAAAATTTCTTTAATTTCCCAATAAAATTCTCTAAAATGAAAGTCCACACTATCAATGGCACTATAGTATTGAACCAAAGCGTTTCATTGCATTCAAGCAAACTTTGTCCGACTAAACAAACATTCTTTATTCACAATTTCTCAGAAAAATATGATCTACTATTAGGCAGAAACTACTTAGAGTCAACCAACACTCAAATTAACTATTCAACACAAACAGTCAACATAAATGGCTACCCATTTAAAATGTGGTACGATCACATCCAAAAAGATGAGTCAAAAGTTACCAATGAGTACTCCAAGTCATCTAACCTAGAGGAAACTCCTCTACATACCCCAAAAAAGGAAAAATCCCTCCGTAAAATTAAGCGGAAACCCCACTTAAAACCAGATGAGCCAAAGCCATCCAATCTAGAAGAATCCAAGACTACCAATGAGTGTCCCAAATCTTCTGAATCTGAGGAAAACCCTCTTATTACCCCTTACATAGAAGAAGCCCTTCTAGTAACATCCTCTAACTACGCCTTAAACGACGAGTTAAGAGAATCCAACGTATTCAGATTAGAACATCTAAATACGGAAGAAAGGGAACAACTTTCACACGTTTTGCTCGAATATAGTGATATTCAGTACAAAGAAGGTGAAAATTTTACCTTCACAAGTACGATTAAACACTCTATTCATACAAAGCACGAAGACCCTATCTATAAAAAACCATATAAATACCCCCAAGCATTTGACCAAGAAGTTAATAAACAAATCAACGAAATGATAGAACAAAAAATAATTAGGAAATCAAAATCTCCCTATTGTTCTCCAATTTGGATTGTCCCAAAGAAAAGCGATGCTTCTGGCAAACCAAAATTTCGATTAGTCATAGACTATCGTAGCCTCAATGAAATAACCATTGACGACAAATTCCCTATTCCTGTAATGGACGAAATATTAGACAAGCTTGGACGCTGTCAATACTTCACAACCATTGATCTAGCTAAAGGTTTCCATCAAATTCAAATGGACCAACAGTCAATACCCAAAACCGCATTCTCAACAAAACATGGACATTACGAATATACTCGTATGCCTTTCGGTTTGAAAAATGCACCAGCAACCTTTCAACGTTGCATGAATAACCTTCTAGAAGATTTAATCTATAAGGATTGTTTAGTCTACTTAGATGATATTATCGTTTACTCCACTTCACTAGAGGAACACATAATGTCATTGAAAAGGGTATTTGATAAGCTACGATCAGCAAATCTAAAATTGCAACTTGATAAATGTGAATTTCTAAAGAAAGAAACAGAATTTCTCGGTCACATTATCACGACAGACGGTATAAAACCAAACCCTAACAAAATAAAGGCAATTGTTAACTTTCCTATCCCAAAAACTACAAAAGGAATAAAATCTTTCCTTGGACTCTGCGGATTCTACCGTAAGTTCATTCCCAATTTTGCAAAAATAGCAAAACCCATGACACTTAAATTGAAAAAAGGAGCAACAATTAACACAAAAGATAATGACTACATGTCCGCCTTCGAGAAACTTAAAGTACTCATTACGTCCGATCCGATCCTAATATATCCTAACTTCGAAAAGAAATTCTCATTAACGACAGACGCAAGTAATATAGCTATAGGCGCTGTATTATCTCAAGAACACAAACCTATTTGTTATGCAAGCAGAACTCTAAACGAACACGAACTTAACTATTCAGCAATAGAAAAAGAACTATTAGCTATAGTATGGGCAACAAAATATTTCAGATCTTACCTATTCGGTAGAAAATTCGACATATTAAGCGATCATAGGCCACTTGTATGGCTAAACAATATAAAAGACCCTAACATGAAGTTACAGAGATGGAAGATAAAACTTAACGAATACGATTATAATATCCAATACCTACCTGGTAAAGAAAATCATGTCGCGGATGCTCTATCCAGAATTCAAATTCAAGAAAACTTCCTAGGAGAAGATGATCCAATCTCCCTTCCCACAGCAGCTACTATACATAGTGCATCAGAAGATAACCAAAATCACATTCCAATAACAGAAAGACCCCTTAATTATTATAACAGACAATTCGAATTCATAAAAGACAATTTTGACGACGTCCAGATAATAAAATATTTCCACAAAACTAGAATAAAAATCAGTTATAAAGAAATGACCGACACCCTTGCTAAAGACTTAATTAAAGAATACTTCTGTAATAAGAAAAGTGTTATTTACTTCCCTAATGAAATCGACTTTCAGATATTTCAAAATGCTTATATTCAAATCATAAGTCCCGACAATTTCACTAAAACCATGAAAACCAGTAACAAACTAATAGACATTCAAACATATGCCCAATTCAAAGAAATCATTCTTAAAACACATAAAGAATATTTACACCCTGGCATAGAAAAACTAACACTTCAGTTCAAAGAACTTTATTATTACCCCGATTACCAAAAGCTTATCCAAAACATCATAAATGAATGTGAAATCTGTAACATCGCTAAAACCGAACATAGAAACACAAAATTAACTATCGAAACAACCCCAGAAACCTTTAACCCCAGAGACAAATATGTCATAGACTTCTACTTAATAAACAATAAACAATTCCTATCATGTATTGACATTTATTCTAAATACGCCTCCCTGATAGAAGTAAATAGTAGAGACTGGCTTGAAGCTAAAAGAGCTATTTTACGTATATTCAACGACATGGGTAAACCCATAGAAATAAAAGCCGACAAAGACTCCGCTTTCATGTGCGTCGCACTTAAACTCTGGTTAGATTCAGAAGGAGTAACCTTAAACATAACGACAAGTAAAAATGGAATTTCTGACATCGAGAGATTTCATAAAACCGTTAATGAAAAATTAAGAATAATATCAAGCGAAAATGAACCCGAAAACCAATTCACAAAATTCGAAAAAATACTTTACGTATACAATCACAAAACAAAACACAACACAACTGGTCGAACACCAGCAGACATTTTTATTTTTGCAGGAACCCCTTGCTATAACACACAAGAAAATAAAGTGAACAAAATTAACAAACTCAATGAAACTAGACAAGACTTTAATATAGACACCAATTTCAGAGAATCCCCTCTAGTTAGATCAAAAACGACTAACCCATTCAAAAAGACAGGAAATTTAAGACAAATAGACGAAAAACATTTTGAGGAAACAAATAGAGGTAGAAAAATAATACACTATAAATCTAAGTTTAAAAAGAAAAAGAAAATTAATAAAAGTAAATATAATAACGATAATTCCAGGCCTACTCCCGAGCATGATACTCATGTTATGCCTCCTATCGACAATTAACACACAATACTTAGAAGTAACACCTATCCAGGCCAAAAACGGTTACCTAATCTTTCAAACCGGATCATTAGATTTACCAATAAACTATGAATATCACTACTTATCTGTTAATTTAACTAAAACCGAAAATACTTATGAAGAACTTATCAAGCAAGCTCAAATCTTTGAAACTCTACAACAAATTCAGTATCTAACAGAAAAACTTAACAGAGAAATGAACGGTATAAGAATTGCAAAACGTAGTAAACGCGGTCTCGCTAATTTTATAGGAACAATGTACAAATACTTATTCGGCACCTTAAACCAAGAAGATAAAGAAGAATTACAACAACAAATAGGTGACATCTCTAAAAATAATGTACAAGTAAGCGAACTCAACCACGTAATAGATGCCATTAATAAAGGAATTGAATTGACCAATCATCTAAATAGTAACTTTGAAGGAGAACAAATGTTAGCCTTAGTAATTTTCAACCTACAACAATTCACTGAATACATAGAAGACATAGAACTTGGTTTGCAACTGACACGCTTAGGTATCTTTAACCCAAAACTTTTGAAACACGATTCATTAACACACGTCAATTCTGAAAAAATCCTTAATATTAAAACTTCTGCTTGGCTTAAATCTGATACGAACGAAATTCTGATAATATCCCACATTCCGAGAGAAATAATTAAAACACCAGTTTTTGAAATAATACCATACCCAGACGAAAACAGTAACATACTGACTGAAACAATACATGACAAATATTTTTTACACAATAATCAAACTTACACAGCAAGTTCCCAAAGCTTGGTCATAAATAAATGTATAACAGGTATACTAAACCAACTCTCAACACAATGTAGATACAGTAAAACACATTCTGATTTTGAAATAAAATATGTAGAACCTAATATAATTACAACTTGGAACCTTCCCAAGACTATTTTAAACCAAAATTGTATTAATAGAGAAATTATAATAGAAGGTAACAATATGATAAAAACATTTAATTGTTCCGTTCAATTAGAAGATATATTAATTAGCAACACAATGTTAGATTACACTCAAACTATCTATGTAAATAATAACGTAACAAAACTTGAACCACTAGAATACATTCACACAAAAGAAATAATCGAACAACACAATCAGACGAATAATATCTTTCAAATAATAACACTTACAGCATTAATCATACTAGTTATAATTGTTGCATTGTACTTTATTTATAAATATAAAACTATACCCCAAAAATTAATTGTAAAATTCAAAAATCAAACCCCAGAAAACGAAACTATTATACACCCTGAAACAGAAAACGTTGTACCCCAGGTAAATACCCCTGTATTGTACCCTACAATAAGCGCCTGAGGACAGGCTTTTTTCTTAAGGATGGGGAAGTAACATATCCATTATTACACCCACAACTCCCCATAAGATAACTATAAGCAACATACACTAGTATAAGCTCATATACACACATTAATGTATAAACACAAAATATCTAAGTCTAAGCACAAAATGTAATCAAAGAACGAGAGCCCTTCGATTAACCTTGGACACAGCGTCATGTTCCAAAGCCACCCTTTCTCACAGATCGCAAATCGTAAACATAGACACTTGCCGCCTTTATAAACACCGACTCTCGTCCCCTAATCATTTGCATTCGACCACTTGGCGAGCCAACTGAAATAATAAACTTTCGCGATCGGCGCCTACGCCTACGCACTTGTCCCAGGATTCTCCAATTACCCCTATTCTTCAGAAGACTCTCTTCTAACAAGAAAATAGAGGTTTACAACCAAACTCTCTTAAACTTCGCTCTTTGGCTTCCCCAAATTGCCTATAAAACAGCAAGCATGCCTCCATGCAGCAGTTCAGTACTGAGTACGTTATCAACCGCGATAACACCGCTTAAGCCAATTTAACTTTCCAATCTCGTGATAATCAAATGGCTCTAGTTCTTTCCATAAATGGAATTAATAAAAAGGTTTAATAAAATATAAAACTCAATCGTGTGTTTTTTTTATCAAACCCTCGGTCTGAATTCGTAAATATATAAATAATGTACAAATATAAGATTGATTAGATTAAATTTATTAATCACATACCTATTAAACTCATTTTATACAGAATTTGGGTGTTACCCGTTTTCTCGACTGAATTACTGTGTGCAACAAGAGTAAAGTGCACTAGGAAGCTACTTAGAGAGCAACAGAATAGGGAATATATAATATTACTAAGGTCCGTCCGATCAGAAACCAAGATATTTCAAAGATTTGGAGCTGGAAAGATTTCTTGAAAGATTTCAAAGATTGGCTTAGGAGAAATCAGAATGAAGGTGGGAGTACTATCATTTCGAAAACTGAGGCTGCAGTGGAAACCTATTGTATTCTGTAGCACTCGCCTAATCAGGCTTATCCGAAACTCGGTTCAAGGTATTCAAAAAACAAGACCAACGGCCTTTTTTCGCAATGAAAGCCATTTCATGCCTTATTTTATTTATCTCCAAATATACTATTATTATTACCTAAATTGCACCTCGTTAGGTGTTTTATTGATATATCTTATGTTGTGTTATCTATGTAATTCCATGTTTAATAGCTGTTTGTTTACCAGAGAAGGGGTTCCAATTGTTTTTCTCTTTTACATCAGTGAACCTATCTTTGGACCACAATCTATTGTGTGCGGTCGGAAGCTCTCCCATTTTCCTTTGAAGAGGACAGAGTCAACAACCAAGTACATCTTTAAGTGTTGGTCCTACGCAGCGTCCAGAGGTTATCGACGACGACTCAGCAGAGCCGACATCCCGAGCAGAGCCACTCGGAAGCCAGAACTGCCACGCATTGCGACGGTTTCATCAGCCTCGTGGAGGGGGAGTCGCAGTCCACCCGGACAATCCAATCTGGCTGGACAGCGTCTGGCAGCTGTGCACCCGGCTTATCTCCTAGAAAATACCACTTGGTGGGGGCACTCTCATGTTTGGGTTCGCCGTTTTGTTTTGTTATAAATTATTATTACAAATTTCGCCCTGATAAGACTCAGCACAGCTGAGTGGACTTTCGGAAAGTATAAAAGGCCCCGTCGCTCAGAGAAACACTTAAACGTTTGCTGAGCACCCAGCTGGACTGACCCACCTAACCGAAAGCTTTGTAATAACCACTTGATAACCAACCAATCAAAATAAAGTTGGTATACCATTTAGAAGGTCCATAAACAAGCTGTGAAGGTGAGTAAGAGGCGTTATCGTGTGTTTGTCGCTCTTTGACTGATAGATTCTGTGACAGACGGTGTATATACACTACACAATAAGTACTTATAAGGAAAGTGCAACTAGATCATCTTAACTTTTCTAAAGCTTTTCCAATGGGAAAATACTTATATTAAAATATTTTAATTTGAGATACCTAAAAATATGACCTTGATTTTATAATTGCAAACGTTTCATTGAAAGCTATTTGGAAATCTTTTTCACATAAAATCGAACCTTTTTAATAACAAATCATAAAATATTGTATTATATATATTATATTGTAATATAATAAAATTAAATCGTATATCTAATCTAAAGTACTTAGACCTGTTCTCCTGATGGCTGTTCTTAAGCAGTCGAAGCACTTTACGATGTTCCTCCAAGTTCGTTGAACTACAAATTAGAGATTAGATTTTCCGATACATTGTATCACATCGGTCTGAATCCAGTGGAATCCAGGTGACAGACTCAATATATTTTATTATCTCGCAGCCCGCTGACGTACAAATGTAACTAATAATCAATTTTCCATGGTTCCTCCCCCCTTAGTAATCTTTTAATCATGGGTTTGACGCGCGTGCTGTTGAAGGATGGCGGTTTCGGCACCCAGATGACCGTCCATGTGGGCAACTCTGTGGACGGGGATCCACTGTGGAGCTCCCGCTTCAATGCCACCAATCCGGCAGCCATCATCAGCACCCACCTGGACTTTTTGCAGAGTGAGTAAATGTTTGCTGGTAGCAATTAGCAACAGACTAACTGAATTTTCCCCCTGACAACATTAGATGGTGCAGATATCATTTTGACCAATACCTACCAGTCCAGTCTTGAGGGTTACATGGAGTATCTGGAGCTGGACGAGGAGCAGAGCATAGAGCTGATAAAGAACACTGTTCGTTTGGCACACATCGCCAAGGAGCGCTATCTCACCGAGTGCTATCAGGCCCAGCTGACGGTGCCGGAGGGTAAGCGAACATCCACATTGATAAAGGTTCAGCTAGTTAGATTAATTGATATTGTCAATCGCACTTTATATTGTGCTGAAGCGGATTAGGGATTTATTTTCTTTGTTTAGTAATTTTGCTCGCAGAAATGCTCATGCATTAGTTGTAATTTTATTTTAAAAATTAACCAAGTCCGGTACTCTATTTTCTAGGATACCCTCTGATCATCGCCTCAATTGGACCCTATGGGGCCCACTTGCACGATGGCTCCGAGTACACCGGTAGCTATGCCGACTATGTGCCGGCCAAAGAGATTACGGATTGGCATCGCGTGAGGATCGAAGCATGCTTGGAGGCTGGTGTGGATGCGCTGGCCATCGAGACGATTCCCTGCCAAATGGAGGCGGAGGCCCTGGTGGAGATGCTTTGCGATGATTATCCGGATGTGAAGTTCTGGGTAGCCTTCCAGTGCAACGGTGAGAATACCTTGGCGCATGGAGAGACCTTTGCGGATGCGACTAATGCTATTTGGGATCTATTGGCGGAGCGTAATGCCCAGGATAAATGCCTGGCAATCGGAGTAAATTGTGTGAATCCAAAGTTTGTGACTCCTCTGTTCAAGAGTTTGAATGGAGACCGCGAAGTGGCTGAGCAAATACCGCTGGTGGTGTACCCCAATAGTGGGGAGGTGTACGACGTAGTCAACGGCTGGCAGGGGAAGGAGCATTGTGTTCCCCTGGCGAACTACGTTCCAGAGTGGGCGCAACTGGGGGCCAAGGTCATTGGGGGGTGCTGTCGCACCTATGCAAGGGATATCCGCCACATCGGTGAAGCCATTCGCGACTGGAACAAACTGAAGAAGCTCTCCTAGATATGCACTTATAAACTGGGGATCTCAGTAACTTTGAAAGAACAGAATGCCCATCCATTTAGTACTGTAAATATGTGTTTAGTTATTAAGGTTTAGAACTTATTTGAATAAAAAAAAAGAAAGACAACGGATAGGTTCTTTTATCTTCTAAGCTCCGATGGTTACATTTAAAAATTAATTCTATGGATATCGATGGATTTGTTTTCGATTTAATTTTATAGGTACAATAACAATTTGAAATTTGAATTCTAATTAGCTGGGACTCGAAACCGAATAAAACAATTTATAAAAAGGAAACCACAAAAAATGAAGATAAATTAATTTCTCGCTATTCAAAATGTAAAATTTTACGGGAGCTCAAGTAGAACATTTTGAAGACGAAACGATGAGAAAAATACTATTTCTTCAATAGTACGAAAAACAATCGATGATTCTACTACACCATCGATAGTATAATCGATGCTGTGACAGTACCAACGCCGAAAGTGACAGCCAAAAAAAGAGAACCAGCTGTGGAGATTTGCACAAATTTTGGCAATTTCGAATTTGTACAGGAGCGGCTAGTTAAATACTCACAAAATGTTGATCAAAGTGAAGGTTAGCGGGGGAGATACGTATTTGCAAAATACTATGATAAAGATAAATCATAGCCGACGTGCCCAGCGGCACTCCAAGCATCAACGAAATCGGGGGAGATTACAGTGAATATATGTGTGGCTGGATTATTAATGTAAATATGTATTATGATTCCATTAGACCCTGACCGGCAAGGAAATCGAGATCGACATTGAGCCCACAGACAAGGTAGATCGCATAAAGGAGCGCGTGGAGGAAAAGGAGGGCATTCCGCCCCAGCAACAGCGTCTTATTTTTTCCGGCAAACAAATGTGAGTTTTCCCGGCTATTCTTCATTGATTTTAGCTCATTACGCATGCGATTCACTCCAGGAATGACGACAAAACCGCGGCGGACTACAAAGTGCAAGGTGGATCTGTTCTTCACTTGGTTCTGGCTCTGCGAGGAGGTGATTCCATTCTGATACCTTGTATGTAACTAGCGTGTTTATAAGCGGAAAACATTCATTTAAAATTCAATGAAATATAGTAAGCTTGAGAAGCGTCATATGGAGAAATAATATATGTAATCTAAAAAATCTGTCCTAAAAGTGGTTTATGAGAAAACCAATTGTATATTCGCATCGGGAAAATTTAGCAAGAATGGATTGGGGCAAGCATAGCCCCTAATAAAAAACATTTTTATTGTAAGCCAAAAATAAATCCTTCGAAGAAAACTGCACATTAGTGGGTCAAGATTTAAAGCATATCAAAAAGGCATTTATTTTGTCTCAGTGGCAGTTTGTAAGTTCAGTTCTGTTTAACAAAACGTCCGACTAGCAGGTGATTCTTTGGCGTGCATTGTTCGGGTTTTAAGCGTGTGAGAATGACCTGGTAGCCCGCCTCCACCGCCTGCAGCTGGCGATCGGTGTCCACCACGGACATGCAATGGAGTCCCTGAAGCGTGGTTTCCGGCTTGCAGTTGGTAGTCCCCATTTCGTGTGCCTGATCTGCCGAGTGGGCAATGTACAAGTAGTCCTTTGTGTCCAACACCCTTTGGAACGCTACGCTCAATGGGTAAGTGATGTGAGCCATAGGCTGCAGAGAGCCGTAGCAGCAAGGACAGCAAACAAAATGTGCTTTGGCTCTACGGCACTGCTGCAAAACGATATCTGTGGCTGTTCCACAGGCGTGCAAAGAGGCTCCGATTTTGAATCCTCCGACAAAGTAATCTATATTGCATTGGTAAAAAACGCAGTTCGTCAAGCCCAATTCGATTGATCTTTTTTGGGCTTGAATCAGGGAAAAAGCTTTGTTTTCCATCACAATAATGGTACAATTTGGCAGTTTGATGGCCAGCAGTATGGCCAAGTGCCCTGTGCCGCTGCAGAAGTCCACAATGCGGTCGCCTGGTTGCGCCAGGGAAACCACCGCATTGGCCATGTTCTCCAGCTGCTGTCTCTTGCGCTCGAGTCGCTCCTTGGGCAGTGCGGAACTTTTGGCATGTGTGGGCTCAATCTGCTCCCAGTCGATAAGCTGCTGGCCATAGGAGTGCTCCGAATCGGAGTTGAATTGCAGTTGCAGCGAGGAAAGCTTAATTAGAGCTGCTTCAACCTTTAACTGACTGGTGTAAATGCGATTTCTGGGCTTGTATCGCTTAGGATCGGCTTTGTACAGACTGGTGGCCTCGCAATCGGGGATTCCTAGTTCTCCGGGAGGGGTCTTAACAACATGCGGCACATAAAGATCTCTTAGAACCCTGGCGCACTTATCGTCGAAAGAATCGATCTAAAACAAATACAATTTTGTTTATAACTGCTATAATTCGGGTAGATCAACTTTACTAACCTCGCTGAACCAGGTACTAGTGAGTGGAAAATGGGGCAGCATTTGCCCGCAATGCTGGAAGACAATTCTAAACAGGGGGTACAAAATTATATCGGCAATTGTGAAGTTAATGCCCTCGGCGAAGCGGTGCTCTATAAGCAGGTCCTCCTTAGGTGTGGTGCACTTGATCTGAACACGTTCTCTCCTCTTGACTTTGTCACCACTCTCAGTCTGATTGGCCTGCTCCCTGGCCTGTTTATAGATGTTATGCATCCTCACCGGTTCGTTCATATGCTGCTCGAACCTCACCACTTCTTGTGGGACGGAATCCAAAATGTGCCCACTGTGAAGTTTACTGACAACAGCCACAACATCCACCTCGCAGAACCTAGTCCAAATTGATGCTTCTGACGGAGCTAAGAGGCAGCTCCCCTTAAAGCCTAAAAGTTTCTTTAGTGGCTCATTTGATTGTCTTGCAATAAGCTCACTGAAACAAAGGAAATATTAAGTGTATGTATTCACCAATAAACTTATTATCCAACCGGCAAACAGCACACGTTCCAGCTATGAAGGTATTTCCGTCCTTTTCGTAAATGGGAAGTTTTAAATCCTGGATAGCGGGCAAGGATGCGGCATCCCTGCACGTGATGTGTCGATCCGTCAGCTCCTTTTTGAGTTGGGAACTTCGTAAAGCTATTTTACCGCCTTCGATCTTGGATAGAAAATTGATTAACATTCTATAATTAAGCTGCACAAATTTTGTTCAACCTTTGTGGAAACAAAGTTCACTCGCACATTTTTTGGATCGTTCACAAATTTGTACGTAAACAAAGCCAAGAACGAGGACACACTTGTATAAATGGTGGTCTCTTTTTGAGTGCTGATCTCGATCTCCAGGTACAACTGATCCATAGTTTCATTAACCGATCATCAAAACAAATTGGAAATTAAACGAAAATCGAAAATAAAATAAGTGAGCGAGAAAATTATAAGCCAGCTGGGGGCCAAAAAGGAAAGAGGAAGAGCCATCGGCATTCATCTGTCATTTTACTCTACGATGGAAACTTGGGTTATCGATTACTAATCGGACTGTACATGGCGCACTATTCAAATTTTAAAATATCATTCCCCACTTTAAGACCTCCAATCTTATAGAGAACCTTTACTTTGTAAGATTCAATTATGTGTTATTCTTATAATAAAGCTGCTAAATTTGTTCCTGTTATAAAGAGGACTAAAATAAAATGTAATGTCAAGAACCAACTTTTGAACACCATATTGAATATGCCCTTTTTGCTTTTATGAATTTATGTTGATTTCTGTGATTTAAACTGGATTGTTTACAATAAAATATGCCTGAAATCCCTTCAGAACTAACACAGACTAGTTTTGGCTCGCCTTAAGCGGAGACCATCCTCTTTTTTTATGTTTCTGCCGTTCCCATTCTTATTCCTTATTCCCCTTTCTGATGATGGCTAAAAATAAAGAAGTGCTGCTTGCCGCCAATCTTCTGGCTCAGCAAAAAGGGCAACATAATTGTGGTCATACACTACCCTTGGGAATGATCCTACCGCTTTTGGGAGTAAGTTGGTTTGGAATAGTTTAAGCAAGTAAGTTTTTGAAACATTTATCAACAACAATTTTTCTAAATAAATAAAACTAAACCCAAACCATTTTTGTAACTTAAATATGTATATGTACTTAACTTGGTCTTACGGAATAGTAATTAAAATAACTTTCTAAACTTCTAAACATATAGCCAACAATCAAAGGCCCAAACAAGTTTGTGAAAGTTAGTGATGATTTTAAAATGTGGGTCCTGCTAAAATGTAAGGGTATTAGCCGCCCATTAATGCAAGTTAATTTTAGCCATTCCGAGGAACGATGGACCAAGGAATGGGGAATGGGCATAAGGTAATGGTAATGGTGATGTGGAATGGGAACCCGACCGAATGTTGCGACGTTTTTCTTTGCCTGCTGCACTTTGCTGCGCGCCTGCTGCGATTTCTAATCGAAACGAAACCTTCTACCCTAATGACGGCCTCGGGGAATAACCTTGGCCCTTTGTTAGCTGAAAAATCGGAGTTTTTAATCGTTTTTTGCATGGGGAACGAGAACTCGATGATGCCACATATATCTTGCAACATGCTGCATGTATGAGATCGCTGCGCTGCAACAGCTGTTCGCCTGCTCGAAGTTGTTCCGTTAAAATCTGTACTAGGGCAGAGGCCACAAAATGTTGCACAAAGGGCCGGCAGCAGTCATCTCGCTCGCACTCGCGTGCTCCTTGCGAGCCCTTCGCCATGCGATGCAGCACCCAGCACTCTTGCCCTCTCGCTCTTGCTTAGAATTCTTTCTCGCTTGGAACGTGATGGGGAACACAGCATGGGAATGGTAATGGGAATGGGATTCGGGAAGTAGCAGCAGGAAGGGGTACTGTGCTCTAACCGCTTTCCAACGCTGCTGCTCGCCTGTTCCCGGACACCATCGAAATTTCACATGTATTCCCACGGCCTGAATTTTCCCATGAAGAAGAGGAAGAGGATGGGCAGAGTTTCAACAAGAGACAGCCGGAGAATCGCTCACATACACACTCTGCCCCTTTTTTCCGTTTTTTTTTTTGCATGAGGGTCTATGCACTGGAAAAGATTACCCTTTTCATCCTGAGATCGAGGGATTTTAAAACTAGGACCTACTTGTAACTTACTTTACATCGGAAATATAAAAGAACGATTTATAATTTAACATAAATATAATTGAGTACGTCAAATATTTAGAAGTCGTAAACAACTGCTTAATTACTAGGACATCAGGAACAATATTTTTCGAAACTATTTTAATTTTGCCTATATCTTCCTTGGGTGTTTTGAAATGATAAAAAACAAATATACATTTAACAACTATAATAATTAAATCCACACCTTATGCGAAACTGCAATTTATATAATCTTTTATTTATGGAATTTACAGAGTATTAATAAATATCCAAAATGTAAAAGTAATCTTAATTATTTAGATATTTAAACATTCGTTTGGTTTCCTTGAGTGCATGGTTGTTCCCTTCCTGGAGCTCTGATGGTCGCTTTGTTTATGCTGCTGTTGCTGATGATGCTGCCCCTTCTCGAATTCTCATCGCCCTGCTTCTCCTCGACCCCTTCCCGATCCATGGCAGCGCCTAAAGTCCAGACTGGTCCTGGTCATGGACCCTTGTCCTCTTTGTACTTTACTTCAGCATCCACTTGGGCTAACATCTTTTTCATCTGCTGCACCCGCGGCTTCGCATTCCATTTGGTGTCCAAGTCTGGCTTCTTTTACCTCTTATTTGCTAAGGCTTCTTCTACACTGGCACTGTGGAGTCCGTTTAGAAATAACTTTCGTATAGAAAACTTTCTGTTTTGAAATGTGAAATGCATCGCGCTTAGAACTTTGGGGTCAACAACTTCTCAAGGGTGGCGACCACAGGCGGTACAAGAAGTTCCCGATGGACGAAATCAAAGTCGTGGTAACGTGCACACTATAATGCAATGGAACGTATAAGAATTCCAGACCCTGGAGAGAATTCGGTCGAATCGAGCGAATGTTGGAAATTGGTACTATTGGCATGGTCGGGAGTGCAGGGTTAAAGATAGTCAACTCAGAAATAGGATTTGGAAAAACGAAATGCTTATGAATTTTGAAGTATAATGCATGCCATAGGAGGCAAGACCTACTGGGTTCAGAAGAACCCAGATGTAAAAACTGCCATCATGGCTTCTATGCATTGGTGCTGTAGCTTACTTCTTATGCCCACTGTGCCCCAACAAATGCGGCCTTGGGGAGCTCCAGGAATGCCTAAGCAATTGCGAGACATCTGGAGCCACTTCCTCCGCCGGCTTCTCCTCCCCATTCTCCTGCCCCTGCCCCACGTCCTTGGACAAGGCCTCTTCTAATGTTCGCCTCACGATTGTCGTGTCTCCACTCCTCAGCCACTCCTCCCACCTTACTGCCGCTCTCGCTCCAGCTACTTCGGTTTCCGATAATGTGGCATTGACTTGGCGGCAGTTATTCCAGTTATTTGTGGCACACTTTGCCAGAGATGCAGCAATATGCTCCGGCTACTGCACTCCTGGTCCGTCAATATGTTCAAGGATTTTTTCATGCTTCCAGGCATGCCGATGACGTATGCATGTTGCAACTTGCTACAAAAGTTGAGCACCTCCGAAAATATCTTGATTGACTTGTAGTCAAAAACTGGACCAGCCATCTATTTTGATTGAAAGAAATGAGAAGACAAATGGGAAGATCTGGAAATCTGTTGATTAAATTCGGTAAATTTTGGAGGAAAATGGAGCTTTCAACAATTAGCTTCAATTGTGAGGCAAATCTAAAATCGTTTAAAATCGTACATTTGTACGTTTGATTTGCAATCTCCAACCAAAATCAGAAACCGAGCATAAGAGGAAAGCGAAAAATCCGAGTGAGCTCAAATATGAATGCAGTCTGCTCCGAGTCTAACTCTATCCACCACTCAATCTCAATTCGCGGAATGTTTTCCCCAAAACCACCACTATCACTCTATCGTCGCCCCACTCCACTCCACTCCACTCCACAGGCACACGTTCATACATAGTACACCCTCTCAAAGCGACTCCATGGCGAGGCAACAAACAAATAAACACGCAGACAAAGAGACTGACTGACAGACAGGCAAACACACGCCGTGGAAATTCACACTCAGTTGAAACGGAACGAAATCGGGGGCAACCCGTAAATCTCATGGGTTACTGACTGCGGAGCCTGGTCGCCTGTTCGTTAGAGTCCATGCATCGAAATTGTGTGGCTCAAGTGACGATGTTGTCTTTTTTTCGACTTCGTTTGCCCGTCCGATGCCTTAATTCGAGAATTAGTGTTGGTTCCGTCGCAGTCGCTTCCATTGACGAGAGCGATGTTCGCATGAAGATACTTTCCGACTGCGAAATAACTTGTTTTTAATATCTGGTAGTAGGACATACCTGGAATGCAAAAACATGTATGTACATGTACATACTTGCTGCTCAAAAGTTGAGTGTACGGTTTCTTTTCTTTCGTCTTTTTCGCTCCGCCGGCGCTTCCGATTCGAACAACTAGAGCAGTGAGCAGCATCATTTAGATTTAGACCGGAATTGTAACAGGCGCACAGCGCCGATAGACCGGTTAACCGACTCGGCGCGATTATTTTCGGACTATAGCTATCCCACTCCGCCGGAGCTCGCGTTGTCCCGCTCGCACGCGGTGAGCTTTCGCTCAGAGCGCCACTTTTAAAGGTCAATTTCGAATCAAACCTTTTGAATTTGGCGGTCTTTTAAGCTCTTGTTAAGCTCTTGCTCCTCTTTCACATGTAAATAGGAGAATTAATTGTGAATTTCGAACCGATTTCGAACTTAATGCAATTTGATATCCCTTAATTCTGATATTGATATTCTTGCACGCCCTTGGAACCGTTAATGTAAATTAATTATTATTTAGTAATACTTTTTTTGTTCAAGCTTAATATTTATTTAAAAAAGGATTCGTTATCAAAAAAAAAAAAACGATTCACACATATTTCAAAGAGAAATCGCTAGTTGCAAGAAAACCAATGATGGGAATCTCATTAAAACTAAGATTCTCTTCAAGCTGATAAAAAATACTGAAGCTCATAAGTATGCCCTCCAACACTCACAACATATCCTTACCAATATAAAGTAGTGAGCACCGAAGTCCTAATTGTGCAAAAGGTTTAATTTATATCATATCATACTAAAAAACCTAAAACCTCAAAAGTATATACCCGGTCAAATTATGCAAAATAACGAAACAGGACTAATTAACTTTACATTTAAATGCACATCCACTCTGTAAACTGTGCATTTAATCATGTAACCACTGCTGAAGCAGAGTTGTACACCAAACTGCATTAACTGGAACGAAAACGAGATAGAATGCTATAGTCGAGTTCCCCGACTATCAGATACCCGTTAATCAGCTAGTGGAAGTGCAAACGAAAAATTTCAAAATTTTCTGGTGGGAAAAAGTGGGGGAAAAAAAATAAAATGAAAAAAAACTAAAATATTGGTTAAATGTGTGGGCGTGACAGTATTGTGCGGTTTGTGGGCTTTGGAGTGGGCGCGGCAACTGACGCAGCTGAGGAAGCAACTATTACTAAACGATTGCACCACACTCCAGGCCCAGGCGCCAAATTCGAGGAACCCGGAAATCAAACAAACCTCTTAACAAAGCCCCAGTATTTGATAATCCAGAAAATTATTAGTTTCCTTAAATCAGGCAATTTACTAAGTGTTCTCTAAATTGAGTTGATATGTAATACAAATATGTTAATATTAGTCATAGTCAATGGAATAATTAAACTTAATTAGGTAATTGTGCAATTTGTGAAGTAAGTCTCTAATTATACCTACAGTCCGGTCGAAAGTCTTAGTAACTGGGCCGATCTCTCGCTGTACCTTAATTAAGATTTGAACTTTCAGCCACTGTGTATAATACATTAATGAACTGTATTTGGTTTTAGTTTTTGGTTCAAGCTTTACATGTATTTAATTTGTTGAATATAAAAAAAAGGTGCTTTTAAATTTGAATTTATTTCTGATATCGATAGAGTCCGCGCTCTTATCGATAGCTTAGCAACCTATCGATAGACCAATGGCACTTATTGCCCAATAGCAGCCCTGCGTTCAAATCAGCTGGCTCTGCTCGGCTGAATATGGCAGAAATCAGAAGTTCAGTTTAGACGCAAATTATAAGGGATTTTTCTATTTAACCGATACAAGACAAGCAGCTGACAACTGGGAAAGTGAAGGGGAACCGTTTAGGTCTCGATTGACCACGTCTCGGTTTCTATAGGCAAGTTACGACGTCGGAAAATGCTGCCACTGGCGTTGCGAAATTCTGCGACAAGAACAACAAAGAAGCGACGCCTAAAATAAGAGCTGCGAAAAACAGAAATAATCAATTAAAATCGAAGCGGAAGCAAGTGTTTTCCGCGGAGCACTGTTAACATTGAACAGTTCATCAAGATTCAATTTGCAACAAAGGACAAAACCAAAAGTTGCGTGAACAGCTGCAGCAGCTGCGTGGGCAGCGACGCGGCAGATACGCCGGCAGAGGCTGCGCAGGAACACCAATAACAACAAGCTTTTTCGGTCTTCTGTTTTCTTTCCAACAATGGAAATGCGAGAGGTCTTAAGTCGCGAGGGCAGAGAGGCGAAGAATCTGCTAGTCTACCAGTTCTGCGATGAGACAACCTCGAGTGGATTCGTAGGCGGTGACGTTGGAGGAGGAGTAGGTGACGATGGAGGAGCCGGCGTTGGAAGTGGAGGCGTACTTTTAAACGGTGACTGTAAGAACCACCAACTGTTGCTATTGAGTATCCGGTACTTGAGGAGTTTATAGGGTTATAGCATTATCTCTTAGTTATGAAGTTACTTTTTATGACCATGGCTAATTTGTCTAAATAACGTTTAGAAAGCTTTGTTTTCAAAGGTTTAATTTAGTTATTCCTTTATGGCATAACCTTTGGAAAAGAACATGATTACCGGGTACTAAATAGACTTCTAGCAAATATGATATTCTAATTGAAATTCTCATTAATATCTTAAATCTGCTGCAGGCTTTCGGAAGCCACCCATGGTGCCGCCGAAGTCGCCCAACGGTACGCCCAAAAGCTGCCAATCGCCCACTTCACCACGAATGAAATCCGCTGCCAGTGTGGGAGGCGGCGGAGGCAGTAGCAATGGACCACGCGTGCGCAGCGCCTCTACAGGAAGGGATAAAAAGTCTGAGCTGCAAGCCAGGTACTGGGCCTTGCTATTCGGAAATCTACAGAGAGCTGTTAATGAGATTTATCAAACAGTAGAGTGCTATGAAAACATTTCCAGCTGCCAAGAGGCTATCCTGGTGCTTGAAAACTATGTGCGAGATTTCAAGGCGCTAAGCGAATGGTTCAAAGTATCGTGGGACTATGAATCTCGGCCACTGCAACAGCGTCCCCAAAGCCTGGCTTGGGAAGTGCGTAAGAGCAATCCCACTCCCAGAGTTCGGACTAAAAGTCTCTGCAGCCCCAATAACTCGGGCAAATCCAGTCCAGCCTTGTTTCCGGGTACTCAATCCGGAAAAACCTCACCGTGCTGTGATCATGGACAGATTTCGCCCAGGAAACTACTGCGTGCCTATGACCAAGTGCCAAAGGGAGCAATGCGACTGAATGTCAGAGAACTTTTTGCGGCAAGCAAGAGAGCTACTCAAGGATCATCACAGTCTGATAACGTGGAGGGTCCTCTAGATTTAAGTGGCGATAAATCTAATTTCGTCCAGCTAAACACGCAGTATTCCCAAACGGATCTGGAGGATCCACATCTAACTCTAGCGGATGTCAGGGAGAAAATGCGCAAGGAGGCGGATGAAAGAGAAGCTCAGAATAGGATTGAAAAGGAGGCTTTAGAAGCAGTGACCATTCCAATAGCCAATGAATACACAACGGAAATCTTACACAAACAAGAGCCGTCTTCTTTCGAACAACCAATTACTAACGTAGCGGAATCTGATTTAATGCAAACAGCACCAGAACCAACAGCTCTAGAGATGACTGTGGCTTCTCTGGAGTCTATGGAAAACGCCTTACTTAATCAGCAGGCAAATAAGGAGCCCACGCCGCCAAGCACTGTCGTCAAACCACTGGC